GGTAATAAAAATATTACTGGGAATGAGATTCCCGGCCAACCAAACATGAGAATGTGGGATTCTCATCCCATGAGAATCCAACAATCCTTGAATCAAACACCCCCTAAAGGTCATATTGACATTTTATTTGAAAATTTAACCCTGAAACAAATTAACTGACCTTATTCCCATATGTAATAGAGTAAGGGGAAGGTATGATAGTAGGCTACCCCAACCCTAGGCTGAGAACAACTTCCGTAAAATATCTCCAACAAAATACGGATAATCGTTTACGATTAAGTGTTTCAATATAAGTTGTACGATGGCTCACATTTCAAAATTGTGCATTCATGGGGCATGATGAAAGTGCAAAGTCCAAAAATCAAGAAAATTTTCTAGAGATGTTGAAACTCCTTTATTCTTAAAATAAGGATATACAAGACGTCGTGCTAGAAAATGCTCCACAAAATGCAAAATATATATTTTCGTCAATTCAAAAAGAAATTTTGTACATATTTACTCAAAAAGTGCAAAAAGAAATTGGAAAGGAGATTGGTGATTCAAAATTTTACATAATTATTGATGAATCTCGAGATATATCTAAAAAAGAACAAAGGGCTATAATCATAAAATTTGTTGATGGAGATGGAATTGTAAGTGAACGATTTTTACAATTAATACATGTCAAAGATACTACGTCAAAAACTCTAAAAGAATATATTTCTATAGTTTTATCTAACCATGAGTTGAGTATTGCAAATCTTAAAAGTCAAGGATATGATGGAGTGAGCAATATGCGAGGTGAATGGAATGGTTTACAAGTTCTATTCAAGAAAGATTGTCCCTATGCCTATTATGTGCATTGTCAAAAACATCAATTACAACTGGCTCTCATTGCTGCTATGCGAGAAGTATCTGAAGTTCATGAATTCTTTAAAGAATTGATTTTTATTGTGAATGTTGTAAGTTCTTCTTTTAAGCGTCATGATGGACTACAAGATAGTCAAATTGATGAATTGAAACATTTAATTGAAATTGAAGAGATTGAGACTGGATCAAGGTTAAATCAAATTGGTACTTTACAACGTCCCGGAGATACTAGATAGAGTTCTTATTACAAGTCAATTTGTAGTGTCTAAAGGATGTACAGTGCAACTAGTTCTTTCCTTGAGAAAATAGCTATTGATCGTCAAGTCTCATATTCTCAGCGTGGAGATGCTAATTTTTTCTTAAAAGGTTGTTGCCTTTTGATTTTGTATTCGTTTTACATATGATGCGAGAATTTATGGGACACACAGATGCACTTTGTCAAGCTTTGCAATATAAGTCACAAGATATTTTAAATGCGATGGATTTAGTTGCTGCCACGAAGTCTTTAATTCATAAATTTAGAGATGATGGTTGGGAATGTCTTTTACAAAAAGTACTTTTGTTTTGCAATAATCATGATATTTTGGTCCCTAATATGAATGCTACTTATACTGATATAATTTGATATCGACGTAATAAAGATATCATTTCGCTAGAGCATCATTATAGAGTGGATGTGTTTACAACTACTATGGATCAACAATTGCATGAACTAAACAATCGTTTTAGTGAGCAAACAACATAGTTACTTATTTTAAGTGTGGCTTTGAATTTTAACGTGGACAAGGTTTGTCGTCTTGCGAAGTACTATCCCGAAGTTTTTTCTGAACATGATAAAAATCATTTGAAGTATGAACTTGAGCTATTTTTTTCATGATGTCTCTAATCATTCAGAGATGAAGAATTTGATCACCATAACTCAATTATGTCAAAGTTTATCAGAAAACAAGAAATCTTTTTCTTATTCCCTTGTTGACAGATTGATTCGACTTATTTTGACTCTTCCTATAAGTACAACAACTAATGAAAGAGCCTTTTCAAAAATGAAAATTATTAAGACTAGTCTACGAAATAAGTTGGAAGATGATTTTCTTTCAGACTACTTAGTTGTATATATTAAAAAGGAAATCGCTGAAAAAATTAATATTATCTTAATCATAGATGATTTTAGCTCTATGAAAAGAAGGAGAGTTCATCTTAATTGATGAAGATATTATGTTTTAGATGATGTATTTTTTTTTACATATATTTAAAAAAAATTAGAACATGTAATTATATTAATTTTAGTTGTTATTATATTTTAAATTCAATATATATATATATATATATATATATATATATATATATATATATATATATGAATTGTCTTAAAAATTATTTTATATTGGACTAGTTAATAATATTTTTTGGATCAGCCACTATCTTCTACTTACCTCATACTAATAAAAAAATATAAACATCAAATTTTATTTGGGTTTAAATTAAAAGTTTTACAATAATATAATTAAATTATGGGTAAAGTATATAAATAGTCCCCAAACTTTTAAAGAGCTTGCATTTTGGTCTTCAAACTTTTAGTTTGTTTTCAGTAAGATCCCTTTCATTACCTCCCGTTAGTTTTTACTGACGTGGCACTTAACTCTTGTTAAACCCCCTTCTTCTTCTTCTTCCTCTTCTTCCGTTCCCGTTCACCCCACCTCTGGTCAGCGGTGACTCACACTGCCATCACCATCGTCACCGGCGTTACCTCCCGACCACACCCCGACACTTTTATACTCACCGTCCACCGTTCGTCCCAAATCGTAAGAAGACTATTCGAACACCCATCTCTGATCTCCATCGTCAGTCGCCAATGACCATCACTATTGGTTCCAATAAAAGCGTCGCCCCATTCTGATCAACATCCCACTAGCCATTTACCGAGACTCACATCCGTTAGCTGTGGAAAGGGCCTCGAATCTCATCGAAAAACCCTAACACCCCTTCTATTTTCATCGATTTTAGACTGAATGGATCATCTGTTCGCCACGCCGCTACCACCGTTGGAGTCCTCAACTATTTCGAGCAAAACCTAGTCGTTCGTACCTCCTCACCGTCATCACTCCTTCATCCATAGTTGGTTAAAAAAATAGAAAAGAGGTGTTGGGGTCTTCTCACGATTTGGGACGAACAGTGGACGATGAGTATGAATCGAGGGTTGGGGTGTGGTCAGGAGGTGACGCCAGTGTGAGCCACCGCTGACCGGAGGTGAGATGAACGGGAATAGAATAATAATAATAATAATAATAAGGGGGTTTAACAGGAGTAAGTGCCACATCGGCAAAAACTAACAGAAGACAACGACAAAGATCTTACTGGAAACGAACTAAAAGTTCGATGACTGTATTGTAAGTTTCAAAAGTTGGTTGACCAAAATGAAAATGCTCTAAAAATTTGGAGACTATTTATATACTTTATCTTTAAATTATTGAGTTAATTTTTTGAATTGGATTTGGACCCTTTTGTTTTTTTATTTTGGGTTTCTATCGATTGGTCCATTTAATATATATTGTACAAATTAATTTCATAATTTAAGATTGGAGTTAAATTCAAACTCAGTATCACCCGTGGTTACGATCGAACACTTGTACTCAATCCTTAAACCAAGATTCACACACCAGCCAGTCAGCCACCCCTTCACCTGAGCACTACCCCCACATCACACAACCAATGGACCACTCCATCCCATGGTTTTCAGAACCGGTCATGCTATCGGTTCACTGGTTCAACCAGTTGAATCGGACGACGTCATAATTATTTAAAAAATTAAATAAAAATACCAAAAATATTTAATAAAAAATATTTTTTATATCACAAGTCATATTCAAAGCAAGTCATAACATATATAAATTAAAAACCATAAAATCAAGTGAAACAAAATGATTCAAATTAACTACAACATAATATTTAAGGTAAAACATATTAAATAATAAATATAATTATATAACTATAATTAAAAAATAAATTTGGGGCTAAAAAAATCATAACAAAATGATATTGTTTGGTTTAATTTTTTTTAAAAAAACAATCTCACATGGCTAAGAAACATAGAAAAAATGGTTGTCCCTTGTTCCCATATGTAATGGGGTAAGGGGGAGGTAATATAGTAGGCTGCCCCCAACACTAGGTGAGACCAGCTTCCGTAGGAGACTTCCGAATTATGAAATACCCTCCATGGGACTCGATCCCACGACCTCAAAGTTAAGAACCTTGTGCTCTACCAACTGAGCTGGATGATCATTTCCTAAGAAACATAGAAGAGCATATCAAAAGTCTAAAGAGTACAAATATGAGAACAAAACAATCTCATATTGCTAAGAAACATAGAAGAGCATCACAACTAACTTCTATAAATAATAGGGGTAATTTGGCATTCAAAATCATAGAGCCTTTTGGTGAGCATTGAGTGAACTATTCTTTCACTTCAATCAAGCTCGAATTTTAGGCTTTAATTGAGCTTCTAAATTTTTTTTTAGTTTAAACATTTTTGAGTTCAAGTTTCAATATTATATTTCGAGTTCGAGTTGAACTTGATAATTTTTAACTTATGAGTTTGAGTGGAGTTGAGCTTACTTTTAAAGTTTTCAAGTTCGAGTCGAGCTCAGCAATATTCGAGTTCGACTTGGCTCGTTTAACAAACGAAGTTTGGTTTAATTTTTTTAAAAAAAAAAAACAAAATTTCCGGTTTTTTCCGGTTTTCAGCCGGTCCGGTTCGAACGGTTCAGCGATTCTGACCGGTTCGCTAGTAGTGGTTCAACTGGTTTAGATTAAACTGGACTAGGCAACGATTCCCGGTTGAATCGATCGGTCCGATCCGATTTTTAAAACAGAGTCCATCCGATAACCGTTAAACCCCCCATCTGTTCACTACCGAGGCCTTGATGACCAATAGCCGTACCAAGTACCAACGCTCAACCCGCCCTAAGACCACAACAACAACTAAGCAAACTTGAACCTACTACAACCAAAACCCACCTAAGTAAACTTACCCATAATGTCTAAGCTACAACCACCTTCAAAGAGGATTTAATCTTAACTTTTAAATATTAAGAATTTTTTCAATTATTTAAAGCACTTAAACCTACTGACTGAGGATAACGGAGTTTGCCGTGACACTTTATTAAACAGTACCAATTGGTCTCTCCACCTACTTCCAGCTCCCCGCCATTGCTGCTGCTCTCTTCATTTCTCACACAATGGCAATCGCCTCCAATTCCATCGTCTCTTTCGCTCACCGCTCACTGAGTCAGCCCGGAACGCATTCCCACCCTCTCCTTTCCTCTTTTGTTTCTTTGCCCCCGTCTCCTTCACTCTCTCTAAAACTCACCCACCACTCCATCTCGCCACTTCACTGCTCTTCAAATGTACCCGACACCACTGAAAATGGCAACCCCATCGAAACAAGTAAGCTTTTCTTTCCATCCAGTTTTAGACCCAAGTTTAACTTTTTCAAAATCATCGTGATCTAATGAAATCTGGGTTTGTTCATTTCTTTCTTGATTGTTTCAGGGTACCCAGCTTTTCCTACTGTGATGGACATCGATATGATAAGAGAGATATTACCCCACAGGTTTAAATATACTGTCAAGTTTTTATTTCTTAGGTTTTTTAGCTTTCTTTTGCTTGCTTCTCTAATTGTATTTAGTGGATTTACTTTGCTTGTAGGTTTCCATTTTTGCTGGTGGATAGAGTGGTAGAATATAATCCGGGGGTATCAGCTGTTGGTATAAAGAATGTGAGTATAAATGATAACTTTTTCCCTGGACACTTCCCTGAGAGGCCTATAATGCCTGGTGTTCTCATGGTTGAGGTAATTAATCTTCTTTTCACTTTTTTCCCTAAATGACTGTAGATTTAACTGGTTAGTTTATCATTATGAATGCTTTATGGCATGCATAGTTTCCTTGTCGAATAGGATTATATCAGGATGTATGCAATTGTGTAGTTATTTGATAATTTTTCTGTTATGAATCTACTTAAAATGAGGTGTAAGACTGGTCTTGCTTTATGGCTAGACTTGTATGAAACAGAAACCTATGTTTTATGGACTCCTGGTGTGTGTCAGATAAGGTACGTGTCCAGCATGGATATATGATCAGTTTTTCTAAGTTCTTCCATATATTGGAGGACTATCTTCATACACATGTCCATTCATCAGACATGGGCATTACAACAACAACAAAACCCTATTCCCATATGCAATGGGGTAAGGGGGAGGTAGGGTAGTAGGTTGTCCCCCAACGCCAGGTTGAGAGCAGCTTCCGTGGAAGACATGGGCATTAGATATGAGTAATTCAAGAAAAATAAAGAGTTGGAGTAACATAGATAGAAACCCCACTTAGCATAGCTGAAGTCTTATTTGCTGAAATGCACTTGCAGTAATATGGGGAAAGGAATAAGAAAATAAACGGCAGTCTAAATTAGAGATTGAACTAGTTTTTTTTAATGTCACGCCTTATTATTCAATCACTTAAATTAAATATGCATTTCTGAGGTAAAACACGATTGCACAAGTTTCTATTTATGCCGTTTGGAGGAGATTGATAGAAGTAACAACAGAAAAAGTTGGGCATATCATAGGTGTTTCTGCACATAGCGCCTATGGAGCTTGCTTCCAATGGTTCTTCAGTATATATTTTACCTGATTAAATAATCTGTATTGAACTGTGGCTAAGTAAAAATTTGGTTAACGAAAGGGCGTGAATGCTACCATGTAAGGACACATCATGGTGGAACAAGCAAGTACAGACCGTTATTAAGAACAAACAAATTTGCTATAGACTACTGGTGATACAAAGAATTTTGAAATACAGGCTGGCAAAGAATGGACAAGATATTTCTAAGGAGGCCATTTGCTATATACTACCGACCCGGTGATACAAGGAGTTCCGAGAAATATAAGTTAGCAAAGAACAATCAAAACTTGTAAGGAGGTTATTTGCAATAGACTACTGCTGATAAAAGGAGTTTCGAGAAATATAATCTAGCTAAGAATTGCCAAGACATTTGTAAGGAGGCTTGAGTGAGTCTATAAGACATTTATGATATGTTGGACTCAAAAGATGGAGAGAATGGTATCTATAGGCTTGTTCGTATGAGGGAGAAAAAGGCTAAATAGTTGGGAATTGTTATATGCATTAAAGATGATAGTTATATGGTCCTGTTGAAGGACGAGGAGATTAAATATAGATTGATGTAATAATTTGATAAGCTGTTCAATGGTAGTTACTCTCAAGATGCAGATGATTAGACTTTTCCATCAGATGACCTAAGTTATGACTTTATGCATCTGACAAGGCCTTGCATCAAATGAAGACTAGAAACACGGTAGTCCGAAATGCAATTCCTATCAAGTGTAATTGACTTGATGAGTTGGCTGGATGGTTGGAAAACTTGTAATAGCGTGTCAAACGAGTAGAAGAAGATTACCTTGGCACCTTTATTATATATTTATATATTACTCAAATTTTAAAAGATTAAAACCTTTGAATCATACTATGAAACCTTTGGGCAAACTTATTGAGCAATGTTTATGAAAGCAGAATAAGATTGCTAATAATCAGTTTGCTCTCATGCTAAGACAACCCACTGTGGATACTAATAATCTATTGCAACAACATATTGAGAATTTTGAAGTGTCATAGTGAGATTTGCACATGGTTTTTAGTGATTTAGTGTAAACTTAAGACAGAATACCTAAAGATGTTCTTTGGTAAAGAAGACGTTGTTTCTTTCAAATATGTTGGTGTAATACAAGATATACATGAGAGAGTAGTTAGAAATGTAAGGACTTGTAGTGTATTGATGTATGAGTTTAGAATTGCAATAAGGGTGCACCAAGACTCGGCTTTCTTTCCAGCTCTCTTTACCCCAGTAATGGATAAGGTAACTAAAGACATTCAAATGAAATACCTTGGTGTGTGCTATTTGCAGATGATAATGTATTGGTTAGTTGAGACTAAAGAATAGATTAATACCAAATTACAGATGTGGAGGCAAACACTAGTAACTCGGTGATTTAGATTGAGCAGATTGAAGACTTAGTATATAGAACATGCATTAGTAAAAGAACGAATAATGATCAAAACGTGGTAACAATCAATGGCTAGTGATCCCAGTAGCTAGTATTTTCTATATCTATCTTATTCTGCCTCATTCCTTCTTTATTATGATTTATTTGTACAGCAGATACTTTAGTGGCCATCCTTCAAGCCTTCTGTTATCGCTTTGCCAACACTACCCTGCCATCTTACTCTGCATAAAATTGAAAGTTTCGTTCTGAGTATATGTACAAGATGTCATACATATGTGGCTAGTTCGGCTACTGTAACCTACTCATCCCATTCATCTTGTGCATATCTAGCTAGTACATCAATACTTAAAGTTATCTGTTTCATCCATTTAAATTGGTTTCAGAATGCCCCCTCTCCCCTTGATTGTTTCTCTATACGCTCTTACATTGGTAGGGATTGATATGTCATCTGCCCTGTATTTAGCATACTAAATGAACATGGCTCTTGTAGCTTCTATGTATCATTTTGGATTTAGAGCAATCTTTGCATAAAAATCATACCCCATGTTGCCAAATTTTTTCTTATGCTAAAATAGATTATCTGCTGGCAGTTTTGTGTGTGATATTTTGGCTAGACATCACTTGTTTTTTCTGTTATTTAAACTTCTTGACTATTTAATTGGACAAACAAGTAAGAGTTTATGCTTTTGGCACCTTTTAATTGAGAATCTACCCTTGAAACTCTCATTTTTTCTATGTTGGTCTTTCCACTCTGTTGATCACATGTTTTGATGATCTTAAACTAAGCTGGGTGATGTTACACCTTGAGGATCCCCCAAGTGGCAAGGCCTTGGTTACCCAAACATTGTCATCCCAAACTCATCAACGAAAACAAATTGCTTAAAATAGTTTGGCATTTAGATTATCAGTATCATAAATACTACACTGTTCAATGCATCTTTAGTGTTAGTAGATACTAAGAGAAATATTTACTTGGTCCAGGCAATGGCACAAGTCGGAGGTGTGATTATTATGCAACCTGAAGTGGGAGGTTCACAAGAAAAGTTTTATTTTGCTGGAATCGACAAAGTGAGGTTTAGGAAACCTGTCATTCCAGGAGATACTTTGGTCATGAAGATGACACTTATCAAACTCCAGAAGCGGTTCGGAATAGCAAAATTGGAAGGGAAAGCATACGTTGGAGGTGACTTGGTATGTGAGGGTGAGTTCCTGATGGCTACTGGTAGTAATTGATAAGACTCGATATTTATCCATATGTTTCCTCCAATTTTCCGTAAATTATTGAAACATGGTCAGCTCGAGGCTTTTATTCTATATTGATCCCTTGCTAGGACCTTTTTTTTGGACAGTCCATTAGGAAGTTATTTTTTGTTTTTTCGTCCAAAGAATAGGTTTCTTGAAGTTTGTTCTAGCAAATGAGTTTGTTAATTATCAAAATTTATATCCTGTGCTTTGTTCCTTGAAATTCAATTAAGTTAGAGCAGCAGTTCCTCCTCAAGAATGAAACCTTCACCAGAAAACAAATGTACTAAAAAAATCTCCAAACCAATATTAACTGATTGACTAGCCTCCAAGGTTCTTGCTCTCACAAGAATATCTCAACAGATGAGTATTTTTCAATATTTGAGTGCAAACCTTGGGAACAAGGCTAGTTGTATGAATCCAGGTTCAACGTTATTAGTTAATGCAAGTTATGCAACCATCCTTGAGATGTAACATCCAATAAGTCTATAGTTTGCACCAGAATATCTGCAATCATTTATTTTGTACCGAAAAAAGATTGAGATGTATTGAAGTTGAAAGGAAGGACTATTGATGTCTGAGTGTTGTTTTATGGCTCCCAATGATGTGGCTGATGAGTGCCAATTACCTTTAGTATTTTGCACACAATCTTTAGTGGGACTCAATGGTAGGAAGGACTGTGTCCTTTATGCAAGTCATGGAGGCCCATTGCTCTTTCTTTTGCTTTTAAGTTGGTAGGGAGCATCAATTATTCCACCTCTTATTTAATGGAATCTCTTGCCCTACAGCCATACACTTGTTTGCATGTGTGGGTGTGAGCCCATCTTTGCATATCTGTGAAATGGCCCTACTGCTAAAACAGTTGCTCAATACTGCTGATATTTGTGTAGGCAAAACCCCATAATCTTTTTATTTAAAGGGAGATGCTGGTTATATTATCTGCAATGAGTTTAGTTGCCTAAAGCTCCATATAACTTTTTTTAATAATACGCGGTGGTTACAAGATAGCATCTGTTTAGAATCTTTTTTTAGTATTGACAACGTTCACACACCTTACAGACGCAACTGCTTGAACCCGAGACCTCTAGGAAGAACAATACTATTTTTTTTCTTAGATACAGAAAAATGAATGATTTATGCTGCCTGTTAAAGCAAATTCAGTTGAGCATGATAATCATAGGTTCATCTCGAGTCTTCAATAGCATACTATTTTTTTCGGAGAATTGTCTTGTGTCGTATTAGAAAGTTTTTAACCTCCGTTACATATCAGTTTCCTTCATTGTTTAAAGTCATAGAATGAGTTTCACACTCAATCAAATGAAAATGACATGCAATATTGAATCAAAACACACACAGAAAGAAATTGACAGGCAATGTGCTATGACAACCATGAAACAAAGATGGGACAATAGAAATAAACAATTTCTCCATCATGTTGTTGCTTTGTCATCTCAATTTTTCATTTTCATGCTGAATTATTGGACTTCCCCCCCCCCCCCCCACTTGCTTGGTAACAAGTATATGCTCAACTATGTAGCTTTCCAGTTTTCAGTTCAACTCAAGAGGCTGCAATATATAAACCAATTAATTAATCAAATTTTATCACTTAATAATGGTAATTCCATTAAATAATTTGATTGTAGAAGTTGCCTAACATGCATGACTTATTTTTTCAAACATAGTAAACTTTAGGATGTCATGTTTGTCACATAAAAATGGTGAATCAAACTTTTGTTCCGAAATTAAATATACAAGAGACTTAATTTTGTAATAAGAGAAGTTCATTAATATAGTTTGATCAAGTCAAAGTCTTGTCATGATTTATATGAAAATTGACTTTTAATGTAATATTGTAAGAGTTAATAATTATTTAGTTATGATCACTTATTTGAATACATAATTTATTTTTAGGTATAATGTATAAATTAGACATTTCTTTCGATCCATAAATTGACGGATATTGAACGTTGAATATATTTGAATTTTATATCTTTCTATATAATATATCGACGATGATATCAATCAAATTAAAATTGGTATTAGAAATAAAACTTTTATATACAAATTGAATTATTTTGAGTGATATATTAATATATTTTTCCCTTAAATGCTATCTTGAAAAAGAAAGTGACAAGTAGGATGGAGATGAGATAAGCAACACTTGGTAATGTTTCATTGGAGCAATACTTGTTGGTAGGACCATTCAATATGAAGACAGTACAGTGTTGTCATATTCCAATTGGTTGTTACAGATTTATAATTTTTTATATTTTATTGAAAATAGGGACGTCCGTTTTGGAGGACCCCAATGATTGACACATAATAATTGCTAAAACTAATATGTTTTGAAAGGTAAAAATATTATTAATATATATTATATATTTGGAATAGTCATGAATCATCGCTTACACAGAGGAACTAACAGGTGACCACCTTGTTCTCTTTCATGTATGATTATTGAAGTTTCTATATATTTTTTTAATTGAGATGTTGAATCATTATAAGTTTGGAGTGGGGAATAGTTAACATAAGACTTGAATTTGTTTTCTATGTTAATATACAATAATTTTATTCATTCAACTATGATAATATTTCTTATAAACATGATAACTAATAAATTTATATTTAACATTTTAATATATTTATTACAAACACTTCTTTTATTAATATTTCTTTTTAAAATGATTAGATCCTAATTGAGGGGAGTTAAGGAGTCATTCACTTCTCCAACTGGCAAACTATGTAGTTCCATTCCCTAATAAATTCAATTTTTTTTATTAAAACGATTTAAGACATTTTCTTTTTAAGATAATATATATTATTGAAATTATAATGTATAGTTAGTTGAATAATTAATTTTACACTCTCAGCTTTAGAGGTCGTGGAATAACTCTGATCAAAGATAGCGTAGAAAATGAAGGTGGATAAATTATTTTTAATTTTAGGTTTATTATTTTGGAGTGCGACCTAAGGGTATAAATGAGATATAGTATTTGAGAGATCGATTATCATAGTACATGATTTAGATGGATCACAAATTTAATCCATCTTTTCAATTTTAATAAATATTATATACTATAGTTTTAAATTTGTATAAAATATTACTCGTAGTAGCATTAAGATGAAAACACTGTAGAATGGCTATTTGAAATACTGGAATGGTTAGTTTAAGTGAGGTGGACATCATTGAAACTCGTGCCCGTAAGCAACGGCCCAGATTCTCTCTCCGCTCTCTTTATCATCTTCTCTCGTCTCCCCCTTTCATGTCCATTTCCATTTCTCAAATCTCTCTTCTGCGAAGAAATCAGTGGAGAGAAAAGAGCAAAAAAGAGAAAAAAAATCATCCACATATACAAAAAAGCATGTTGCTAGGTAAACGAATACACCATCCTATCAAAAGGACGACAAGCATGACGGGGATCACGGTGGATGTCGTTTCCAACGTGGACGGCAGTTTTGTTGTCCAAGAACCTAACATATCCGACTATCCTCAAAACCACCCTTTCCATGAACTCCCTAACGCCAACTCCGGTTATGATCAACGTTTGTTGTCCATGGTGTCGCCTAGAAACCCCGGCGGCGGTGGTAGAAGATCAGCTTTTACTAGTAACCATGATCTCGACGGCACCGCTCCCTTTCTACGCTCCTGTTGCCTCTGTAAACGCCGCCTAGCTCCTGGCCGTGACATATATATGTATAGGTAATTCCCCCCCTCCCCTTCTTTCTTTCTTCCAAGGAAACCTTTGCTTAAGTCCAGTTTGAATTATTATATCAATTGCAGGGGGGATACAGCTTTTTGTAGTCTAGAGTGCAGAGAACAGCAGATGAAGCAAGACGAAAGAAGGGAAAAATCCAACCTTTTACCTTCAAAGAAAAAAGATCGCCATGCATACGCATATTCATAGCTAAAACCGGCACTGGCAGCTTCCAACATTCTAAATCTGGAGAAGAAGAGGCAAAAATATTCCGAAGTAGCCCATCCCAGAATAAAAAAACAGTGAAACTGGATCGTTTTTCGTCATCGACTAATCTGAGGATCTGCTTCCCTCCATTATCGGAAACCCTCTCATGTTTCACAGTATTATTAAAAGATTGATGACGACAACGATGATGAAAACAATATCGTGGGTGTGCTGTATATTATATTATATGAAATAGATAACAAATATTAATGGGTGCTGTTTATGCAGTGTTTTGAAAATTAGACCGGATCAATCGGTTTAACAGGAAATTGTTATCTAGTTCAGTTCAATCTACACTGGTTAAATCGTTATTAGTAAACCGGTCAAAATCGCTGAACCGTTCAAACCGGACCGGCTGAAAATCGAAAAAAATCGACTATTTTATTTTATTTTTAAAAAAAAATTAAACCAAATGACATCGTTTGTTAAACGAGTCAAGTCGAACTCGAGTATTGTTGAGCTCGACTCAAACTTGAAAACTTTAAAAGTAAGTTCAACTCGACTCAAACGCACGAGCTAAAAATTATCAAGTTCAACTCGAACTCAAAATATAATATTGAAACTTGAACTCGAAAAGGCTTGAACTCAAAAAAAAATTAGAAACTCGATTGAAGCCTAAAATTCGAGCTTGATTGAAGTGAAAGAATATTTCACTCAATGCTCATCAAAAGGCTCCATGATTTTGAATGCCAAATTACCTATATTATTTATAGAATTTAGTTGGGATGCTCTTCTATCTTTCTTAGCCATAACAGATTGTTTTGTTCTCATATTTTTACTCTTTAGACTTTTGGGATGCTCTTCTATGTTTTTTAGTTATGTGAGATTGTTTTTTTTAAAAAAATTAAACCAAACAATATCATTTTGTTATGATTTTTAACCCCAAATTTATTTTTTAATTATAGTTATATAATTATATTTATTATTTAATATGTTTTACCTTAAATATTATATTGTAGTTAATTTGAATCATTTTGTTTCACTTGATTTTATGGTTTTTAACTTATATATGTTATGACTTGCTTTGAATATGACTTGTGATATAAAAAAGTATTTTTATTAAATATTTTTGGTATTTTTATTTAATTTTTTAAATAATTATGATGTCGTCTGGTTCTTTTGATCGGTCGGACCGGTTCAACCGATTGAACCAGTGAACCGATAGCATGGCCGATTCGCTAACCGGTCCGGTTCTGAAAACCATGCGAGTATGTGGATGCTGATGCAAATGGGCAAAATCTTGGAGCTTGAGATCAGCATTTCTGATTCCAGTTTTAAATTCTCTCCAAGCCTATTCATTTTCCCTTCTTTTATGTTTTTTTTTCTTTTAACGGCAAACTAAATTGTTCATAATATGAAGAAAATGATTATAGTAATTTAATTAGTAAATAATATAGAGTTGATCACATGTTAAACTAAAAGTATATATACAAATTTGTCGCAAACCTATAACAGTAATATTTATAACATTTTGTTATGGAAAATATGTAAACCGATTATTGAGTTTTTTGGGTTTGCTGGATCAAGAATTTCAATTAATTAGATGAGAATTAAACTTATTTAAGTATAAAAGAGGATTTTTTAAACTTCAGCTCATAGTAGGAGAATTGAATGGTAATTATCCTATTTTATGAAATAAGGCGACACCAATGTTAATAATTTTTTCTCTAGATTCAGATAGGTAAAAACAAGTATTGTTATTCTTAAAAGATTCAAATTTGAGTAACTGTGTTTGTAAAATATATATATCTTGTCAATAACAAAAAAAAAATTGTAAACATGTATTACCATGTAACCTCCAAACTATTATGAAATAATAAGAATTTACGTCTCTACGTAGGGTTATTTGAGGAAACAAGCTTAGAATTTAGCTTATTTTGTTCAAATTCAACTTTTGTCCTCATTTCCCAAAGTCTTTCGCATTTTCCCCCTCTCTTTTGCCCTTCTTTCATCTTGGTATTTTCTAAAGCTTAAAGCTTGCTTTCAAGGTAGTAATTTTAGGAACTTACACCACCCGTCAAGGCACTCAAAGATAATCATCTTCTTTCCCTTATTATGAACTTTATGATGAGTTCAAGAGCTCTAAAGATGCATGGTGGTTCAGTTCAATCCAATATTAGTGAGGGTGGAGGGATTTTTCAACTTTTCTTAATTTTCTTATACAATTTCAAGTTTATTTTTACATTCTAGTATGAAAGATATTATTTTGAATAATTTCTTTTATGGTTTAAGCTTGTAAAGAGGATGATGAATCCTCCAAAACTAAGGGAAAGGAAAAAGGTTTTGAATTAGAGATAAAAAGGTTTTTCTTACTTAAAATAGAGGTAAGACCTTAAAATAGAGGTAACACTCTTAATTTTAAAGTGTTTCATTAATAGGTGTAATGTGATTACTTGGTGTTAGGATTTATGACGCTCGTTCGAAATATGCCAAGAGGTGGTGAATTGGCTTTTTGAAATTTTAGGGAGTAAGGAGAGAAATGATAGGAAAATTTGCACAATGATTTATAGTGGTTCAACTTCCTCAAAGAAGTCTACATCCACTACCTAAGCTCCTCACTTAGGATTTTCTAACAACTCTACTAATTTGTTCTTTCTTTTTCAATGATCAAGAGTAACCTTTACAACTCCCTAGTTTTTCACTTCGCTAAACTAGAACCAAAACCCCTTTACAAAGGATAAGAAATGAGTAAACAAGAAGACCTCTCTAGGTTGGTGTTTACAAAGATTTAGCTCACAAAAACAAAACCTAAGGATATACAATTAAGCTCAAAACACAAATATTTACAATAGAAAGAAAATAAGGATTGAAAAACTTTTCTCTTGCATATGAATGCTTGGATAGGTGTTGGTAACCTTCTTCAAGTGTCCTCAACTTATTTTTATATGTTGGAATGAGTTACTAGCCGTTGGGGATGATTTGGAGCCGTTGAGAGTTGAAAAATCTGTAATTTTGCACAGGTTTTTCGAAACCTTTAAGGGGGTTTCGAAACCTTCATTTAAAATTTTGACCATTGGGCAAGGGGGTTTCGAAACCTTTGGCAAGTTTTGCATTCCGCCATAGGGGTTTCGAAACATGTTGAAAGAGTTTCGAAACCAGACCCAAAATTGGCTGCTTTGCCTTTTAAAAACTTAAAAACTTTGAATTATTTATGCAATGTTTGAACAAATTCAATTTGGTCCAAAACATTTTTTCCCTTATTTGTTATATCAAAATATTAGTTCTACAATCCCCCTTTTGATATAACAAAACCTTTGAAAAATAGTTTTTGAAGCTCCCCCTTTTCATTGTTGAAGTTGAAATTTTCAACTCATTTTTTTCAACTCATACTTCTCCCCCTTTTTGTTATATAAAAAATAATTCAAACATTTAAGGTTCAAAAATAACAATGGTGAGTAAGTAGTAATTTTAACATTAAGATCGTTTGAAAAATCAAAGTTCTCCCTCAACAAATGTATTCCAAATAAAAATTTAATTTTAAAAGTTTGACTCTTAAAAGACATTGAATTTCAACAAAGATGAATAAATAAGTTAGTAGCACAAGAAATTCAATATATCTAAGTCTAATATACTTTATGCAATACCAATTGTTGAAATTAAGTGCATGTACATAAAGTTATCCAAAAATGTTAAGCATTTGAAAAATTGATATCAATTGTTAGAGAGAATCATTTGCAATAAATCACATGTATAAACATCCAAAATGACACAAAAAAAAAAGGATTTAAAAAATATTATCAAAATTGACATCATAAGCTTAAAGTGATTCCAAATGTTAAAATTGCTCAATAAATTAAGGATATTACTTGTTTTAAAAATAGTTTTCAATAAAGGAACACTTTAAAGGTCAAGATATTTTGAAAGAACTATTTAAAACATGGAAATATAATTTGACCGAAAACATTATGATGAATTGAAATTGATAAAAAAAATTAATCTTAAAATATGTTCATCATAACACATTTTCAACATACATGAGATAATAAATAACATGTAATCATTCATACTCAATACTCATGCATGTATAAAACAAAATAGGCAACCAATTATGCAAAATCAAAATAAGCTTAGAGGTTACCCATTCCATATTGTGGCTATAGCATTTGAATATCTTCATTTTTGTCACCATTGCTCTCACACACCTACAAGAAACTTTTATTTGGATTTTGGTATCCAAATTGCTTTGGATCCTTGAGTGTTAGTGCAAATGTCTCTAGTTCCTTTTGGACCCATATTCGTTTAATTTTAAAATGTTTTCCTTTCTATAAAGGACAAGTATGTTCTAAATGACCATGATAATGACAATGTGAGCATTTTGTCATTATGAAATTAGATGAATTATTTAAAATGATTTCATTTTCTTTTGTTAAGCATTCAAGCTTAACTTTTAAATCAAAACATTCTTTTTTCAAAATTTTCAATTTTTACGATTTCTAACTTGTTAACCATTTTCTAACTTGTTTATTTTTGAAATGAGTCAATGAAAAAAATTAAAAAAATAACTTTAATATTTTAATTTAGAAAAAAATAAAAAGAAGGAAAAATTATTGGTAAGGTACATAATAAACACGTAAGGTACGAAGAAAGGGTGGGGGAAGTGTATAAATTTGGTTCACAATATTTAGAATATTAAGAATATTGTTATGGACATTGCACACTGCGATATAGACAATAATCGACTAACTTATCTCATGCCAAATAATACTCTCCATTTATTATAGATGTATTATTTGTTTTTATTCAATAATAAAAATAATAAAAATAATAATAATAATAATAATAATAATAATAATAATCTAATATTCATTTGGATGGAAAAGAGAATTGATTACAGTTATACCGAAATATCGATGAAAATAAAATAATTATTCTAGGAGAAGTGGTTAAATTTTTATCAATATTGGAAAACATAAAAAGTATATAATGCTACTTGCTATTTTTATATTTTTTATACATACAATAAAAGTTTATACAAATATAGATATTGACTTTTGTTTTTTGTTTTTCAGAGATGAAAATAGCATTTATTCCTGCATTGACTTGCTCTTTGTATTTTTCTTCGTCACCATTAGAAAATCCCTCTTGATAGCCTTCCCTTTACGTTCACGGGTGTGGTCCCTAACTCACAATGTACTTCATTTCTTGAAATTTAATGTCAATTATTCAACCAATATAAAAAAAGTTTATTTGATTTTTCTCATTAA